CTACTAGAACTTTTTCATTTTTATTTCCTAATATTTTATCAATAATTGCGATGCTTTGTCACCCATAAACACAATATGACTTATAATAACACAAACACATGATTATCGCTTACAAATAGCTCACTAACCTGTATTGTACGAATTTAATGAGAAGTGTCCAATAAATGTGGCTTTGTGCATGATTCCGTAGAGGTTCTACAACAGTTTTTAAACAAAGTTTGTTTGAAAACAGTTGAAGTTTGTTGGTTGTTAAAGCACAAGCAATTAACACAGGCTACACTGTACTAGGTACAAATGAGCGTTTTCCAAACTAGTCTATATCAACCTTTCTGGCTATTAGTTTGATTATTTTGATTGGTACTGCTATAGAACACGTTTAATGGTTGTACTTTAGTACTATAAACTTATGATACGGTAGTAGTACATGTCGGTTGCAGTTTTCGAAAGTGGTAATACCGCACTACGTGCGGTGAACTAGGTGATAACAGCTCATAGACGCCAGTCACCACGTTTTATTTTATTTTATAGGTAGGATATAAGACAGATTACCTGATGATGGTCAGCACTCAGTGTTGGTCATGGACGACTGCAACTCAATAAGAGTTACAAATGTGTTGCCGGCCTTTTGGGCCATGGTAGCATTGGACCTTCGTAAACTTACTCGCACAGTATCGTTTCAAGCTATAGTTTTCTGTGGTACCATACCGGTCGAGAATCATTCGTTTCAAATCAAGGCTTCTCGCTCGCTCACACAAAAAAGAATATTTATTTATACATTTGGAAAACCAACAGCTATACAATTTAATTAAATAGAATGTGGTATGCAACAAGAAGCCAATTACAGGTTTCCACGAGTAGCAACAGAGAGTAGAAACATGCCAACCAACACAGTATTAAAATTACTTATTAAACTCATTAGTCGATGTAGTGACGTAGACTTAGCCTTAAGTTTATTTGAATGTTTAACTTTGTGTTGGTCAATCGAACTTGTTGTTTTCTCACGAGATGTCTACTGGATTGTTATGTAGTGGTTGTAGAAGGTGCTTATTATCTTATTTTTGATCCTCAAATCTAGAAAATATAAGTTTTCTATTTTCAAATGATTAGTAGCACGCTTTCTGATATTTGATTTAAGATAATCCTGAGTGTTAAATATTGCATGGAGTTCACACTCTGAATGATAAAAATTTAATGCTTTAATTGTCTCTGTATCATTTCTATGCATATACAATAACCACAGGCAATCTATAATGATGCACAAATTACTCCAAATATTAAGGACCATATAGGTACATGTTAAATATAGTAGCTACTGTCTAAGTAACAGTACAGTTACACGCCTACATAATACATAGACGATTTCACACCACGTTGGTAGAAACTAATCGACGCAATCTAATCGCAGCAAATTATATTGCAGGGACTAATTGACGAGTGACTTCACCCTGAACAGTTTTCTGTAACTGGTTTGTGGTTTGTTATAAAGATTGCACACACAAGTTTGTTTATAAATTGATATTTTTAATCGACTGCACATAGAGAACTGTTTAAAACGTCTGCGACTGTAAAACCTAGGACCATAGGACATAGGACATATTCAATAAATGTACCCAATACATATTACTACGTACATAGGTAATGAAGCTTCAGTCTCAAAAAGAGAAGGACCTCTGAGTTTGTTTCGGCATTTCTTCTCAGAACAATGAGGCCGACATTTCCTAACTGACTCCCAGTTAGGAAATGTCGGCCTCATTGTTCGCTTGATAAACTTGACATGTAAAAGTGCGTCCTTGTAGCCTATTTGCAGAAATAAATTCACTTGTTTCAGTAGTTTCACCTGTCTTTCGATAAATCTTGATAACAGCACCTAAGCGGAATTGAGTCCAGTGATAAGTTTATACTAATTTATACCTGATCCCTTCCTTTAAATCCAACTGTAAGTCTTCGGACTGATTATAATGATAACGATCGTCGAACATACCGTCGTTTCAAGAGTGGACTGATCTTCAATACAGAGATTACGTATAATCGTAATTCTATACGGCTCATGCTTCATTATTGTAGTACGTTTACATTGAACTAGCATAGAATCATTTATAATTTTATCATTATTAAAACCAATCGTAATATAAAATTAAAATATTGGTAAACTCACGCGCAGCCTACTCCGACGGCGAAGAGGCGAAGTCGCAGCGTCCGCGCACGCTGCTAATAGTAAGGCTTTTCTCATTATTTCATGTGACTAAACCAGTGTTTTTTTTTATTAATTTAGTAAGTCACATGATAGTTACATATTACATCACCTGATGGTAAGCAATCAGCGCCGCCCATTGACACCTGGAACAGCAGAGGCGTTACAAGTACGTTACCGGCCTTTTGGGGATTAGGAATTTGAGTATTGTATTCAGGATTCAGGGATTGGGGAAGGGCCCCAATATCCCCAATCCCTGAATCCTGAGACGACGAAATACAACGCAAACGCTGTTTCACGTTATTTTTCGAACAGTGACGTATGGCTCTCCCACACTTAAAACTTATTGTAACAAAATCTCACCTTTTATGACGTCTAAATAACGATGCCCATTACATTTCTATCATATCGGTTAACTATTTTTGTGTTATAATTAATTAATCATGAACCGTATTAAATTAATTATACATAACAGTTCACTCACATTTTCAATTAATATAAATCTTATTACCTACTATAAATAGTACTTAGGTACAATTGAATTTTAAAAGTGTGTGATTATATTTATAGCGCCTGGTCGATAAGGATTCTAACATTACAACTGATATCAGGCATACGTTTTATATAGCGTGACGATTGACGATGGGTTACAATCAACATTTTAATTTTTATCGTGCAGGCCAATGACATTGTTAGGGGGAAAAGTTGAAGCGAATCGGAAAAAGATAATGTTCTATATGCTTTACTATTTGTACCAAAGCCATGTATATTAGTATCAATTTCCATTCTAAAAGAATGTAAACGGCAAGATAGAATAAAGTGGTTTTATTAGTATGAATCAAGGAAATACGCATTGGATAAAGACAGGGCAGCTGCGTGAATGGAGTTTCTTGCTCGTTCTTCTCCATTCGAAACTACACTTTGGAACGAGCGCCTAGCTACACTGACAGACAGAGGGACGGACAATTAAATTTTTAACGTTTCAAAATTAAGATTTAATTGAAATAAAAGAATTGACTTTGACTTTGAAATGACCTTATTTTTTAAATTTTCACTTATTACCTAAGTACACTAATACACTTAACATTTTAACTCGTCGAGTACTGTATTTATAGACACAATTAAAAAACAATAGGTTGCGGTCACCGGTGACCGCTTAGTGCTTGACAGTTTAAACAGTCAAGTACTTTGGAGTCCGGTTACATCACGTACCCAGGGTAGCGGAGATTCTCTCAGACGCTACCTGGTCGCCAACATCTCCCGGCTCCATCATCTCAGACACCAACCGCTCCCGGCAGGTCCACATCAGGCTGCATCGACTTTTTCCACTTCCAGCCAGCAAAATTTCTCCACTTTACGAAAGGTGATACGCAGTTTTAGTCCACTTTTAAAATAGTCTTTATTATTTTCAACAAACACAAATATCCAAAATTGTACTCGTGCCACGCGGGCAGCGCTGGCATGGTCGCCATGCAATGTGGGAGACGTGTTACTGTTACTGTTAGGAATATGTAAAACTATGTGTCTTAAGAACTAATTTACACTACTTACTTATAGGGCGAGGTGTCACACACACTACACTGCAATTTTCAAATCCTATGTCAAGCTTGAAGATGTCGATGATCGAATGCACCATAATCGATATAGTTAATGTGGTGTTTATTAAACATAGAATAACTAGAAACGATCTCAAATTTCGCAGGATCGAATTCGTTCGATCGAATTGTGTAAAAAAATATTACAGTATTTTCATAAAAGTCCAACTATCTCTTCAGAGAATGAAAAGAGCGATATCAAGAAATTGCAGGAGGTAGAACTCAAAGGGAGTTAGAACTTTACATAAACAGTAAATATAATTTTTAAAAAATATTAAAATATCGTTTATAAAATAATTAATTAATTACAATATACCTAGAAAAGTTTAAGAACTCATTCTACAAGCTTTACGAAGGTTAGAAGGCCTCATAGCAGGTAACAGGTAACAAGTATTAAAAAACCTTGTAATTGAATAGTAAATGAGTTCGTAGCAATCTATTCAATAATAAAGGGTTTCGTAATAGCGAGTATAAATTTAATAATGTCGTAGCGGACTACGAACTTTGCTACGCGCTTAACACGCTAGAGGTCTCGTAGTAGATTCGTAGCAATCTCGTAGCGCGCTACGGCATTATTTTGTGGGCTACGATAATTAGCAGTTCTTGGTACCACGATTATTAATTCTTGTACACTTGTACCATACTTCTAACTTACATTTAAAGCTTGTATAGTTGTATCGTAACTATAATGCAAAAGATCTGCTAGCAGCAAGCTGTTTTAAAGCAATATTTTTATGCTCTCGTAGCAACTGCTACGAAACTTAAATAGACACATTCAGAATTTCAAAATTAAAACTACGTAATATTATTGCCTAGAAAGTTCTTTATTTCAACGATACTGTTATACTAGTCTATTTCGCATATATAATTTAAAATTAAATTTTATTCTAAGTAGTAGATACCACTTTAATCACTTTGATGACATTATTTTATTTATTTTTATCAATATTTTCAGTTCATAATGTGCGAGTAGGCGCAGCAGCACAAATAAAACTTTTTAATCATAAATAAACTCCAAACAGAGAGGAGTGCTACCTTAGCAATCATATCCCAAGTTGTTTCGAGAGGGGAGTCCGGGTGGGATCAGTACGCATGCGCGGAAGTACCGGTGATGGCAACGCATTTAGAGACTCCTTTACTTTATGTAATAAACTAGTACATTTAACGTTTAATGTAAACAGTTTCCTTGACCACCTGCCGCATAAGAGATATGAATGAGGACCACTTCGTTTTCCCTCGAGGTAAGTCAACATTTTTCTCAGGATAAGGTTAACTAATGCTCGGAAATCGATCGTTAAATAACACAAGCATAACCTTAATTTTCATTGTGGCTCTTAACATTTGAAGCATATTTTGTTTTTGTTAAATCCTTTTTGCTTTTGTGAGTATTAGCCGTGTAAAATAACGTGTGTGACTAAGTATGAAGTAAAATGTTTAAGATCTTTACTTTTGTTTCCGTGACGATGTCCAGAATGTCTGGAAGAAATTAAGAATTCAGGACTTTTCGTTGGTAAAGTATTTTTAGTACAATATCACATAAAACCAGTCCTATAAATGTAATCAATATTTAACATATTATAGAATTCTCATACTGAGTTATAGCGGCATCTTTTACCTTTACCGATCCCGAATTCCATTAACATATATCTACCTGACCTAATTTACGAATAATATTACTTTCTCTAATGTCGATAAATGAGCAAGCCTGCGATACGATTTTTAACAAATTTCTTACGTTGAAACTGTTGTTTTAGAACCATATTTGCGTGCGTAAACAGTGTTTCGAAGGGCTCTTTTATATTAAAGTAAATGAAGTTAGTTTAACCAGTAATTTCTGCATATTACGTTTGTAATTCTTGAAATTTATCATAAATGATAGTGATTATTATATTATATCGTGTGGCATCTTCAAATATGGTTACAAAGGGTAGCATTAACACATTATTTTATTAATTTAACCTCTAACTTAGGAATCTTCTATCAGATGTATAGAATATCTATGTAACTAATACGGTATCAAAAATAATAATGTGTAAACGAGATCAAGATCACATAGATTTTGTTTAGATACTTTGTTGCAACTTGAACTTAAATATTTTCGAGAATATTATCAGGAATATGTTTTTTTCTATATTTGTTTAATGTTGTTTGCAGGTCCTGGCCTTACTCTTCCTCACACTGATCCCTTGGCCGGGGCCCTCAGTCTTCAAGATAACTTGCTCTCGTGACAACTCAAAAATAGTAAGAAAGGTTATAGAAAATAAATGGCTCCCAGTACTAGAGAGGTTTCAGGTAAGCTCTCGTATATTCCAATAAAATATAAGTAAAATATGCATTTACTATTGCTTGAATACATTTTCATGAAGTTAATTTTTGATCTTGTATAGGTTCTAAGTAACATCTAAGACAAATACCAGATTTTGGATGAGATTTTCATTAAGACTGTGCCTTATAAAATTGTCTAGTATCCTGTGCGTTCAGCTTATTAAGTTTTACATACTTAGTCTGTTTTAGACTACCTCGTTGGCCGAGTGGTCGCAGGTGCGACTGCATGACTAGGGGTCTCGGGTTGGATTCCCGGGTCAGGCAAAGTAAAACAAGATTTTTCAAAAAAATCTCAGTGTTAGCCCGGAGTTTGGAATTGTGCCTGGTATATGGCAATAGGCTCACCCCCTTTTACATGGGACTCATAACATAAATAGTGGGTGTTATATTTTACACCATGGCATTAAGTACCGTACCGTAATATGCACCTCTGTCAACCACTTCGGGATAAAAGGCGTGATATTATGTTATGTATCATCGACATCTAGTCCCATATTATTTACATAATTGCTGTACATTTCAGGTGAAGCTGCCACTGGAGTGTCCGTTCCATCCAGCACGCGACATATTCGCGCCCCAACATGCAGCCAAGCTACAGCACAGGCCATCGCAGTGGACTTGCGCCTTCTGTGGCAAGTCTTTCTACGAAGAACGACATCTGGACACGCACTTCGACCAGAGACACAAGAACCAGATTAATAAGGTAACCAGAAGACCAGGATTCCAGGAGATTGTACTAACACTTTCGAAAGAAATATGTAGTTCAGATGGATTTCCTTCGAAAGTGATATAAACAGAAATGGAGTCTAGACAGACTTAATTTACATTCTTTTAAAATTTGTGCTACCTGATTTTTGGCATTTCTGAAATCTTCCATAATTAAGTCTGTAATTAAAGAAATTTCAAGAATGATCGAAATAGGTATAGGTTTTTATTAATAGACTGTGCATACTTACTTACTTTGCTTTGTATACGAATTGAAACAGCATGTATTATGCAATTATAATTACACTAAGTAACAATAACATTTCGTTTGGACAGGCGGAAGATGCAGTTTGCCTGGCAGACTATTGTGACATCATGCGGTGTCAGGTGCTCGTCGCACATGGCCTGCTCAGTGGCACTGGTGGACCGAGCACCGATATTGAAGTGAGTATTTTGACAAACACGATGTTTTCGAAATCGAAATAAGACCGTCAAGTTGTAAAGAACTCTATAACATACAAAACTATAGTGGCTAGCTCCGTATCGCCCTCGTATGACAACAGTCTCAAAATGTTTGGAAAATAATTATTTAATGTTATGAGTTGTTCTGCGATTCGCTACGGAGGGCACTCATGGAACTATGGCATCATGGCAATAATAAAGAATTTGCTTCAGGTATGGCAAGACGTGGAATCAGTGAAAAAAGCGCTGGCACCAGCGGCGACGCGGAGCGTGGCCAGAGTAAATGCAAGAAGACGTCACAGAGCACGCACCGCGCCGCCGCCCCCCATAGAAGACTGCCCGCGGTCAGAAGCTGACGCACGAGAGGAGGAATCAGGTACACAAAGCACCGCTAATTAGTTTGCGGCGCTACACATCGACACTACTGTCATTTACACAGTGTACATGTGTGGGTAATTTCATTTTACTGTGTATAAAAATATTCGTCCACCACGTTCACATTGGTATTTTCATTCTTGTGTCGGTATACGTATTTTTATAATTTAATGCATAGGTAAGGTTAAAACTATTTACAATCATTGATATGACCCGACATTTTCACTGTTAATATCGTAGTGCTCGTGGTCGATTGGTTAATGAGCGCGCTTTTATCGTCTTTCAAGGATCAATGATGTGGGTTCTATTCCAGCTAAAAGTTTATTTTATTTTACCTTGTTACTTTTCTTATTAATTTTTTTTTTGTTTTTTGTCATAAAATATAAATATCAGGCTATAAAAGAAGCAAATGAGTTGGTAAATAAAACAATACTATTTTTTAGTACTGACTTATAGAAACTAACCTGCCTGCCTACCTACAAACAAATTGTCGGGACTGCGACTTGCAGAGTGATTAGGTGTCTATTTTGAAATCTTGCAAAGTTTTAGGTACTGAGTTTTTAAGTTGTTAATAACCAAATAAGTCTCAATACCTAATAGACGAAAGAATTACTTTTAGAAAGAGAAATAATTTCTCCTTTCTGTTAGGAGATAATATTTCATAAAATGAGACGGGCTGATGACAATGACGGTACGCTACTTTTTCAGAACCAGAAGAGAAAAGAACGGAAGATAATGATAGTGACGCTAATCAGACGGCAGAGCTGTGTGATGCGGATACCGTGGAGTCGTCGCTACCTCCCGACAGTCGACATAAGAGGCTGGCAGACTTGCAGGCAGAGCGAGCGGCGTGTGACCCCACCCGCCTTCAGACACTCAAGGTCCTTCAGTATTTACATTTTTATCATAATCATAACATATCTAAAAGTATTTTATATCCCGAAGGGAAAAGCAGATGATATATTGTGTTAAATAACAACTTTTTTCCTTGATATAAGTCTATGTAATACCTAGAGGAATAGCTTCTATATAAATTGGACAATCAGGACTGGTAATAGTGTTTGTGACCAGCTAGGATATTGTGTAAGATGTCAATTCGAATTTCCGAAGTGCGCTCGATCGAATGCTCGCCCTTCATTGGCCGAGATTATTGTCACAACCATAACATGGTGGACCGCGATGGAGTTCACTTCGATCTTTTGAATTGAAAGTCACCCAATAGCATAAGAGCATTAAATTAATAACAGTTTAATCAGTCTCTAGAATGAATTTTGGACTTTTAATGAATTCCTATATTTTTATGCCTCTTTCCAAAGTTTGTTTTTTGTAGATTTATTTTTCACCTGTTTATATTTATTTCAGATTCGCTGTGAAAGAATAGTTCATTCGTGCATAGCGACACTTCTTCTGCACCTCACTCAACATCAGTTCACCGAGCTTGAAGGTTTTGATTATTTCCTTACTTTTTAGAACCACAACAATTTTACAATAATTATTATTTTCTACGTGCAGTTACCATTATATTATTGTCTTTTATCAGAGGAAATGCAGCGCGCTGTGTGCTGGTACCTGAGCTGCGACCGGTACTGGGAGGACACAGCGCCCTCGGCACGCGCCTTCCCCTGGCCACTACTGCTGGCCCTGGCTACCGGCCTGGCGCTAGCACTCTGTATGTGCTACTACATCATCTGGATTGTGTTCGAGTAAGTTACACAATCGCCTGGTAAGGAAACTGGATACATGTGTGCGTAGTCACTTAATAGATACTCTTATTAGATTGCAATCATAAAATTGATACCACAAATATTTCATGAACGAGATTTCCAAGGTTAAAAGTATTATTCATACCGTTCACAGATATCATGTAACACAAAACATATAGATATCACGGCTACTTTGTACACATACCACCACGTAGTACTTAGATGCTCACCTATTCATGTTTTTGTTTCTGGAAAGGCTGCCTTATGTGCAGGCGTTTCTCATTAATACAATGGTCGATCATCTTTACCTCCAAGAAGCGGCTGAAGATTTCCCGGAGCCTAGGAGTCGAAGATCTAGGTATATACGTTACGTTTTCTATCGTACCTCGTGCTTTCCAAAAATGAATGCATGACGAACTGTTGTAGCTCGGAAGAGGGCAGCGTGGCGGGCAGCGCGTCGGTGTCGATGACGACGCACTCGTCGCCGACGCGCGGCGAGCGGCTGGCGGCCGACGACGCGATGCTGGACGACCCGGACCACGACGACCACTACATATACGTCACCTACCCACCCGAGCTCAAGCGCCGGCTGCTCGAGAGGTACGACGCAAACAAACTCACTCTCATCATACTGTCACCTTATATCAGACAAACGCGAGTAGACTGACAGGAACAGGGTTTTATATGTTTTTAAAACTGTGGCTTATCTCATTGTCAGTTTATAGGTATTTTATGTCGTATACAGCCCTACAGGGTGTTCCACGTCAATACCACATGAAGGGTGAAATGAAAAATGATGAAACTATTCTACATGATTTTATTTTCAAAAAGAATTGGAATTAAATTAATTTATCGCCTGGGCCTGGTTAAACCAGAAATGAAACCCTTATACATGTATATCTATCAAAGGAAAGGCTTCATTTACCTATAGATGTTTTTGTATAACAAGTAATAATTTGGCATCAGTAATATCAGAAAAGTATTAGAGATATACTTACTCTACATGTTGTATTGGCGCGATAGATGTTCAGTGTGGTACAGATAACCAATTTAGATTTCTAGGTACCTACCGGGTAATTTTTAATCTACGATTAGGACTAGAAATGTCTACATACATAAACACAACCGCACTTTTTTGTTTATTTACCCAAATCTATTAACATCACTCGATCAATTTTGGCAATACGTGAACGTAGCCATTCACACTCTGTTAGAAGAATTTAAAATATTTCCTTTTTATTGATAGGACTGATAAAGCCAGTTAAACATTTTTGTGTGCTATTAGGTATGCATAGTAAGTATTTAGTTAGTTTTAATAAAACTACTTTACGAATAATGCCCGGGATACACGAGGCTAGTTTTTCAAGCTAGGATAGCAAGCTAGTGTCAGTGTAAGCTAGCAAGCTAGTACTTCTGGCTTCGTGTAGACAAAACTAGCTTCATTTCTAAGCTAGTAAAGTAGTAAGCTAGTTGACAAGCCAGGACAGTTTTTAATAGGATGGAGTTCTATTTTTAGGTAAGTAGCGCCCCCAACCACTGATTTTACTATCCTGGCTTGTGTACTAGCTTAATGTGGCCGGCGAAGCTAGTTTTCAGTTGACTCGTAAGCAGTAACCACGCGTTTGTTTTTCTCCGCGACGTGTTTTTGAGATTTAAGATGCCCAAACTAAGTACGGAGATTAATTTAAAGTTCGTACAACTGTACCGTGACCATGAATGTCTGTGGAACTCCACCCTTCCAAGTTATAAAGACAAGTGTAAACGTGATTCAGCGCTACAAAAAATGTGTGTCGAATTAAAGACAATTGGTATTGTTATGACTACCAAAGAGGTCAAAAGTAAAATACTCTTCGAAATAATTCAATTCGCAAAATACTCTTATATTCGCCTAAATCTTCGTTGCGAAATTCTTCCAAAAGTAAAGCAGATGATTCACGTTCTTCTCTCCTTAAAATCCACGGTCTTGTCAACACCCGTTTTTGTAATTCATCTTCTAGTTCGTCTAGTGCGAATTGGCACAGTTTTCGAAGTAACTGTTTCAGTCGAATAGTGTTTTTTTTTCGCGTGCAGTTCATTTTGGACGTGTGGTCACCTTGGTCACAGCAATAATACTAGCTTAAAATAATATAGCCTCATGTAAACAGAACTAGCATATTCCAAGCCAGGTCAGCTAGCCGACACAGTTTTAAAAAAGAACTAGCTTGCTACCCTTGCTTGAGAAACTAGCCTCGTGTATCCCGGGCATTAGTCGCATTTATACTAGCGGCCCGGCTCGGCTTTGTTCGGCTGTTACCTATCTCTTACTTTCCAGTGAAATATTTTTTTTACTTCCCACTACGTAATAAAAACGGAATAATCCATTTTAGTGAAATTATTTGTGGGTTATATGCGGTCATTTACATTCTGGAAATAGGTGCATTATATTTATGCGTCGGGTTACCGGGGCTCCGGCTCGACGTACAGAGTGCCAAGCACGAATAACTATCGCATTCGTATCGAGCGCGTTCGATGCTCTGATTAGTTAGTTCACTGGAGTCGGCCAATCAGAGCGCCGAACACGCTCGATACGAATGCAATAGTTATTCGTGCTTGCCGCTCAAGAGTAGGAACGGGGTGGTTTTTAGTCAGTAAGAGTCTGACACTCCCTCCCGCCTCACCCAGTCGGGAGCAGTAATTTGATGATTTTCCCCCCTTAAAAAAAAAAAATATATATTTATACGTAACTGTATCTACTTATAAAGATAGATTTATTTTTCGTACGGCCTTTATTTTCTTCGCCCTTTTCAGGCCCAAAATAAACGCGACTAATCCGTTTTCTTTTATTGAAATGTGTACAATAGACGACAATCCAACATACATTTTACTAGTTTACCCAAGTAGGTAGTAATATGTAGTTTTAAAATAATTGTTTTACTAATAACAGTTTATTGTTTTAGCTGCTACAATAGAACGACTCGCCTCTGAGATCAGCATCCATGCCATTGCGCCGCGCATGCGTACTTTGTAGTCTAGTCAACAAGTGCTTTTCTTCCACTTTTATAAGAATGTATAACTAAAAACGCTTGAGTTATTTAAACCTAGGTACAATGCCGTTTTTCATAAATAATTGTACTTATTAGGTAAGTATTGGTTTCAATGAGAATAATTTTACGAGAAACTACTGAAAATGTTGCTGAAATAGCAGTTGTTGACTAGGTTATTGTAGGTACCACTGCAGTAGTATTAATCCTTAGAATTTGTGGTAATTTCGATAAATATTGTGTTATAGTGGAATACGTATGTGTTCTGTTCTTTATTTCAACATTGGAACACTGTTGTGATTTTTATACATGTTTGTTCAATAGGGTTGTTTCCTCAATCAACAATAAAATTAGGTATTCCAATAATAAATCTCTTTCACTGATTTAGTTTTAATTTAGATTCAGCATTATTCAAAGTAATTTAAAAGAAATCAGTATAACTTTTGACACAAAAAAGTACAATTTCGTATAAAATTCTGAGTAAACCATCGTTTATGTAAAAGTTTTGAATTTGATGATTTGGAAACTACCCTTATATCTTCACAATATGTTCAGTAAATCTACTGTAAATAAGGCACAGAATCACATAGTAATTTTAAAGGTATGTTGATATATGTTGCACTAGATTTGTAGTTTTCGCGCCAAAAATATTTTTGGCTTCTCTCAGAGGTACGTAAAATATTAACTTTGTTACTTACATTTGTGTGTTTTGTAGACGTTCACTTAGCAATTGTATAATTATGAAATTAAATGTGTGTCAAATAATCCTGTGATGCGGTTGTTTAGGTGGATATTTACGAAATCAAATCTAAATCAACCTTTACTTTCATGCATGCAGTTGAAGTTGTTACTATTAGACAATGACTATAGGTCTAGTGTGACATATACTTAGGTACCCCTAAACAAGAAATAAAATTTACACAAAAATACCAAAGTAGATATTAGATATCAAGACGAAATCTCTTTTTTATAATGATTGTATTAAGTGTTATTTACTTTGTTTAAGTTTAGTTTATAGCGTAATTAATTCTTTTGATGTAGTTCGCTTGAAACAATTTGATGGTGCCTAAACCTTTCCTTTTTATATTGTGCCTACTTATATGTATTTTTTTCTCTTTTAGGTAGTAACAGATATTACAATAAGAAACAATACTGTAAATACAATGTCGATGTAACTTTATAATCATGTAATAACAGATTTGCTGATAAAGAGAAATATTTTTGTCTTATACGCATTTTAACCCCCTCATTGCTCATGAAACTAATGGCCACTTACACAATGTCTGAATAAGTTCTTTTTGGCGATTAATTCGACGCATTTTTCATACGAAACACGTCAGCTAAGCTTTCAACAACTTGGTCAGACATTGTATAACAGGCTCTTAGTATCCACATCTTCGATTATAGTAATAGAAAATATTTTTATCTTATTAAACTAAAAAAATATTTAACATTTGATTTTTGAAAGGGAATTCAAAATAAAGAAAAAGACAGGGCATGTGTCCTGATTAGTTGAATACAATTATAAGCCAGACAAAAGATATGAATTTATCCTTTCAGAAACCTAATGTAGTATTTTCACGTGAAACTAGTTTATACAATTGTATTATAAAAATATTAAATTTATTTATTTGCTCATTGTAACTGTTAATTTGACACGATGTCACGATTATGTTGGCTATTTTGTTTGTTGTTTTTTTATAATAAATAATCTCACGACCAATTATAGTCATTACTTATAAGCAAATATGAATTTTGATTCATTGTACGACTTTTGGTACCTATTCATCCCCGATGTCCTTGCCACGTACATTTACCTGGAGTGGGTAGGTAGGCTCATTGAGCAAGCGTGTTGATCAATGCTCGAATCTTCTCCGTGCGAGAAGAGGCCTTTGATCAGCAGTGACCACTTACAGGCTGTTAATGTGATGATGTGTGAGGTAGGCCTCTAATTTTCGCAAGTTCACACTTTAGAGATCATAGGGAGTAGTAGTCTCATAGTCCTTGAGAGAGACTGAACACAGCATTTTATTCCATAATATCAGAAAAAGGCTGAGTGGTATATTTGTTAATCTAGAATCGCGATGAATTTTGCAACTCTTTGTGTGAAAAGCAATTTCATGGCCACAGAGTATGTAATGTACTATTGAATTTTATGTATGGTATGAATCAGATTACAGTAATGTTTATTCATAACCGACGTGGATGCATAACACTAACATAATGCGCATATTTTACGTCTATAGCATTTCGGCAAGTGGACTTTATACGGCAAAATCTACCTAAGTTCATTTCGGAACTGTTATACCTACTACACAAAAAATATTGTACCGCGGAGACTTCCTGACAGCGCATGTGTCCATCAGTAATCAGTTCTAACTAATGATTATGTAGAGGTACATACATACATAAATAATCACAGATCCTCTGTAAGATGAAGAGGAAATAATTATTAATATCTGTTAAATTGATCCTTTTATACCTTAGACGTGAGATATTACCGGCCCATAGTGCTGCTCGACGAGGTGGGGAAAGTCTTCGAAAGAATCATTTCGAACCGCCTCGTCGCGCACCTGACGAACATTGGGCCGGACCTGTCGGACGGCCAATTCGGCTTCCGCAGAGGGCGCTCCACGGTGGACGCCATCATGCGCGTTAGGGACCTCACGACGGGGACTGCAGTGTCCGGGGGTAGAGTCGTGGTGGCGGTGTCTTTAGACATCGCCAACGCCTTCAACTCCCTGCCCTGGAGCTGCATCTTGGAGGCACTCCGATATCATGGGGTGCCTACCTACCTCCGTCGTGTGATCGAGGCTTACCTGACGGACAGGTCCGTCAGCTACCCCGGTCACCGGGGCGAGTGGAACCGGCGAGAGATGTCACGCGGTGTTCCACAGGGTTCGGTTCTGGGGCCGCTCCTGTGGAACATCGGCTATGACTGGGTGCTGCGCACCGACCTCCCGAACGGCGTTAGCACAATATGCTACGCCGACGACACGCTGGTGCTAGCGCACGGGAGGTCGCACCAGGCGGCGGCCGATTTAATGGCGACAGCGGTTGCGACAGTCGTTGAAAAAATCCGGCAGTTGGGACTCGAGGTGGCGCTCCACAAGTCCGAGGCCATGTGTTTTCATGGCCGCGGGAACGCGCCACCTCCGGGTGGGTCCCAAATAATGGCGGGAGGGGTTACCATCGGCGTCGAGACGACGATGAAGTACCTGGGACTCGTCCTCGACAGTCGGTGGAACTTCGTGGAGCACTTCCGACGTTTGGCTCCAAAGTTGGCGAGGGCGGGGGCTGCGTTTAAGCGCATCCTCCCCAACCTTGGGGGGCCAAACGCCTCCTGCCGGAGGTTATACGCCGGGGTCGTGCGGTCCATGGCCCTCTACGGCGCCCCTGTTTGGGCGCCGAACTTGTTGCGGCGTCCTGCTCGGACGCTGCTCATGTCACAGAGGGTCATGGCGATCCGAATGATCCGCGGATACCGCACGATCTCTGGGGAGTCGGCGAACCTCCTTGCCGGATTACCGCCGTGGGATCTGGAGGCGAAGGTGCTCGCGCGCGTGTATAACATGCGCGCGGAGGCACGTCGCCGGGGCGAAACTCCGCTGCCGCGCCAAATAAGTGCGTGGCGGGATGAGCTCCGGCGCGATCTCATGGCGGAATGGCAGCAACGACTGTCGCAACCGGGGGCTGGGCTCGCTGCCATTGCAGCGGTAAGTCCCCTCTTTGAGGAGTGGCTTGAGAGACGCTACGGCGTCCTCACCTACCGCCTGACGCAGGTCCTCACCGGACATGGAAGTTTCGGGAGGTACCTGTGTCTGATGGGGCGGGAGGAAACGCCCGGGTGTCATCACTGCGAGGACCGCCCTGAGGACACGGTGGAACACACAGTGGGAGAATGCCCTGCGTGGGCTGAGCACCGCCGTGCCCTCAGGGAAGTGATCGGCGATGGCGACCTCTCGCGTCCGGGCCTAGTGCAGGCCATGATGCGGAGCGAGGGGGATTGGGATGCCGTCTCCTCCTTTTGCGAAGCAGTCATGCTAGCTAAGGAGGAGGCGGGACGCGTGAGGCAGCGAAGCGCTGCCTCCTCGCAACCCAGCCATCGCGAAGGACACACCGGGCGTCGGGGATCGCGAGACGATCTCCGGCCACCGTAAGCGCGGGCCTGCGGACGGCGAGCATGGGTGGCTCCCCGTCCGACCAGAAACAGACCCGAGCGTACGGCGCGTCGCGTTCCGCGCGCGCCTCAAAGAGCCATCAGACCACCACAGATGGGGCCCAATAGGGCCGATGCCGATTCGGAGTCGCGGAGAACCTAACGGGTAACCGGGGCTCCGGCTCGACGTGCAGGAGAAGGAACGGGGTGGTTTTTAGTCAGTAAGAGTCTGACACTCCCTTCCGCCTCACCCAGGCGGGAGCAGTCATTCGATGATTTTCCCCCCTTAAAAAAAAAAAAAAAAAAAGACGTGAGATATTAAGTACTGACTGGAATACTTAACTTGTTTAAAGTCATCGGCAAAACACATAATTATGATTTTTACCATATTTTTTTTTACCACGCCGGTGGCAAGAATTGCACACGGCCCAAATTTTGTCCTCAACAGTATCACTCCTTTAAACATCTTGTAAAGGCAATGGGAGCTCCCAAACAGTACCTATAGATAACTCACCAATCATTAAAATTAATAAGTGCACGTTTTAGTTTTGTTTTAAATTTTTTATAACACAAAATATTTGTTTAATAAAATTCTTTATAAAATTGCGTACTTATTTATTAACAATTGATTGTATAAAATTGGCAGTCTTCATTAATAACATAATGGGTAGTAAAAGATATTTACACAATTAATATTACAACTTTGTTAAAGTGACGAAGATTATTGTTTCACTAAAATATAAAAGCATAATTTTATTAATGGCCATCATACCCCAAATGGAGATACCTGTTTATTTATCTAAAACATCCCATGACGACCATGACAATTCAGTTGATCGTTTTGATTATATAAAATTCAAATTATTACGTTGCTCTTATTATAAAAATATTGAATATCTTATTATAAAAGTATTGAATATGACTAGTTGTCAACTATAATAAATAGAAGGCCACATGTCAAGTTGGTAAGTTGGTTGAAATATTTTTTGTTGAGCAGTTAACGCATACAAACTATCCCCATTTACAGTATAAAAAAATGCTCAAAGCCCGTAAAATGCTTCATGAGATAAAAAAAGCTACTCTAATATATAATTAAGTGTTGATATTTACATAGCAGTTTAAAATTAGTTACATACATATGTCGTCACACGTACTTATTGACTCCTTTCCACACGGAGTTGCCTTCCATCACGCATTTGCAGCCGCACCCTGTTGGACAAGTGTCGTGTTGGGAAAACCTACAAACGATAAAAAAAAACTATAAATTGCTATTTCGCTAGAATGTGTAATGTCAGTGTTTGTATTAGGCACTGCCACACATAATCTAAAAATAAATGAAAGAGTTTTAGACTAGTAGTGTGTCGTGTGTAGTAGTAGTGTACGTACCAGTGCAGCATGTGCAGCGCGTGGCCGGCGTGCGCGCAGTAGTGGCAGGCGGCGGCCAGGCCGCGCACGGGGCGCGACTAGTAGTGTGTCGTGTGTAGTAGTAGTGTACGTACCAGTGCAGCATGTGCAGCGCGTGGCCGGCGTGCGCGCAGTAGTGGCAGGCGGCGGCCAGGCCGCGCACGGGGCGCGACTAGTAGTGTGTCGTGTGTAGTAGTGTACGTACCAGTGCAGCATGTGCAGCGCGTGGCCGGCGTGCGCGCAGTAGTGGCAGGCGGCGGCCAGGCCGCGCACGGGGCGCGACTAGTAGTGTGTCGTGTGTAGTAGTGTACGTACCAGTGCAGCATGTGCAGCGCGTGGCCGGCGTGCGCGCAGTAGTGGCAGGCGGCGGCCAGGCCGCGCACGGGGCGCGACTAGTAGTGTGTCGTGTGTAGTAGTAGTGTACGTACCAGTGCAGCATGTGCAGCGCGTGGCCGGCGTGCGCGCAGTAGTGGCAGGCGGCGGCCAGGCCGCGCACGGGGCGCGACTAGTAGTGTGTCGTGTGTAGTAGTAGTGTACGTACCAGTGCAGCATGTGCAGCGCGTGGCCGGCGTGCGCGCAGTAGTGGCAGGCGGCGGCCAGGCCGCGCACGGGGCGCGACTAGTAGTGTGTCGTGTGTAGTAGTAGTGTACGTACCAGTGCAGCATGTGCAGCGCGTGGCCGGCGTGCGCGCAGTAGTGGCAGGCGGCGGCCAGGCCGCGCACGGGGCGCGACTAGTAGTGTGTCGTGTGTAGTAGTAGTGTACGTACCAGTGCAGCATGTGCAGCGCGTGGCCGGCGTGCGCGCAGTAGTGGCAGGCGGCGGCCAGGCCGCGCACGGGGCGCGACTAGTAGTGTGTCGTGTGTAGTAGTAGTGTACGTACCAGTGCAGCATGTGCAGCGCGTGGCCGGCGTGCGCGCAGTAGTGGCAGGCGGCGGCCAGGCCGCGCACGGGGCGCGCGCAGACGGCGCAGCGCAGCGCCAGACGCGCGCAGTGCGGGCAGGCGGCGCCGCGCACGCTCGCGCCGCAGCGCGCGCACTCCGCCGCCAGCTCGGGGCCCGGCCCGCTGCTGCAGCTTGTGTCGCCGTTCACCAGCTTCAGCACCTATTCAATATTATCCATACTTAAGTAACCTATCTACTGCTTTTTAATCGGACGTATTTACGTTTGATACATCCTGTAGGTACGTCTTACGAGGAGACCACACGATGCAGTTATGGTGCGGTATGGCGCAATACTGCAACTATTTCGAGTCATAGGATACCACACGGGCCACCAACCGCAGGGTGCGGCTAACTGAACGGTTGACCGCTAGTGCGTTTGAGGCCTTACGATATGCGCCGCCACGGTGGCCCAACGCGCCGTGAGACATGAAAAAGTAATTTTTATGTAGGATGACGCTGCGGGAACTGCTCCGGCGTTGCACCGCACCGTTGCCGCACGGTGTTGGCTCGTTCTAAGTAGGTACGCACCAAATAATAACAATGACACTCACCTCAGTCTTTTTATAAATTAACTGCCAGCGATGCAGTATATCTGCGTAAACTCTTTTAAAGCAATGATACAGATGTACAGTTGCTTCATCGAGTACACACGACGATGCTTTTTCGGACTTTGACACCGTAGAGTCGGTGTAGAAGTTCTCTGCTTCTGAACATGAGTTACTGCGCAGTACAATTGGAAGAGTCCACCCGTCTGCGCTTATCTCACTGTATTGATTCACTGTACTGTAAGGAGATGTGCCGTTACCCTACAACGAAAAAGAAAATAAATATTTTTCGTATTTAGTAACTGATTGTGTATGTCTCTCCAACTTTGTTTATCTATTGGGTATACTCGAAAAGTATACAATACTCACATAACTCGACGTACTAATTGTAGATTGTGAACTAGAGTTGCTTGTGTCATTGAAGACGGAAAAAGCACAAGCCAACATTGCAGCCATCTGGAGGTTCGACGCTTTGGCGTAGTGAGATATTCTGGAACAATATTCGGTGTACTTTAGTATATCTTTTAGCTACGATATGTGGAAAGATGTGAATTTACTTACAAGGATTGGAGGAGGTTGCAACAGAGTGGGTGTCCGACCCAGCCCATGCTCTCCTCGCTGGAGACGAGGTGGTCGATGACTCGCGCCCGCAGTGACCGCGCGGTCAAAGCTGCCAGGTCCCACGCATGCGCCAAGTCTGTCTCACCCTCTTCTGTAGCTACTTTTGCATTCTTTTCGCACATTTCTATTCAAATAATATAAAATAATGTACTATTTCTACCATTTACAATTTTTGTTCTTAAATTGGATAAAAATATTGCATTAAATATTTGAAGGATTTTTATTAGACTTTTACATACCGATAGGATTGTCAGCGTTAATGATATATTTTTCAGCGAGGTTACGACTGAGTGGAAACAGGTTGGGGGCGGCGTACAAAACGACTCGTGGTGCCACGCACCCAGATATACTGCCCCGACTTCGCATGCTACCTGCGCGACGACCCTGTGCTTTCTGGTAACGAAAGAATACCAAAAGTAAGATGGATTAAGTTGCCAAGGTAGTATTTATGTTCCAACAAATACACTTATAAACTTACCCATCTATCTTGAAAATAGAACGTAGTAATGGAATTCGACGGATGTCTGTGATGCAGCTGTGGAAAACCGGACGCGTTTGTTGGAGACGGCGTCGTGGTCGCGTGGGGCGACACAGAGTTGTATCCAGTTGTGCCAAACAGTCCCGGAGTGAGCGACAGGGAGGACATGGACCGCGGAGTGCCTGTCTCGTGCTTCAGCGACAGGCGACGAGCATTCGGGGGCCTATTGAACACCACCAATGTACTGACTCCGCACCATTTGGCCCCACAAGTTCTAGGGAACGGGATGCACGAGTCACCAGCGTTTTCACTTTCCGACTGACTTCTTTGACTTGACTTCATTGAGTCAGTATCGTCACTGGATTTGACTGGTATCTATAAATTACAAGCATGTTTAGATTTGTAAATGCTGCGCATTATTGTTATGATAAATCTGAAATGTTGAAGAAAGTTGATTCAAATGTGTGCAATTTTTTTTACAACTTAATAATGTAATTGGTGAATACCTCGTCTATAGATGTAGCCAGTGTTTTCAAGCAGTGCAATAGACATCTGTGACCTTCCTTTTTCTTGCGGTAAGCAGTTCTATTGATAGACTGTAATATTTTAATAGTAGTGGGACTGTCGACATTAGTTCCAGACAGCCAAGAAAACTTTGGTATAGTTTGTTCTGTAACATTTCTTGGGAAAGTCACTTGGAGATTCGCCACGTAGCCATTGCGCTCAGAGTGTATCTGGCACGTCCGTGTCTCAATGTTCATATCTGTTACCTCAATATTCGCCATCTCACGGATAGACTCAAATTCTTCATCTATCGACGTGTTGGTTTTGTGCGGCAGTTTATTCTGGAAGACAATATTACTATACAACTACAAACTGGACATTGACACATCATAATTTCTTTTACACAGTAGTTACGAATGTATGCTACCTACATATTTCGATAAATTGTTCAAAAAGTATATAGATTCTAATGAAATATCTTACCAATGCAATATCTTGACCTTTGTTATCTCCTGTAGAGATATCAGTGGTGGACCCCGCTGTAGATGCATAGCTAACATCTGAAATTATAATTTGTGGGTTATTTTAAAGATGTGACTGTAGTACTTACAATATTTGTAGTGAACTGAGTTACTTACTGTCACTATTATTGTCATCATCATTTTCACCATCATCAGGCAAATAGTGATTGCACATCTTTAATAATGAGGGATGCATGGACCATACTCTTAGAGACTGGTCTCTAGCCCATGTCACTAGTTGATAGTTGGATGGTGAGGTATTTGGTCTCCAAACCATAGTTTGGACTGTGTCAGTGTGTCCCACAAGTCGGTGTGTCAGTGCCCCACCTACCCATATACCAATCACTCCAGCCTGTTCTACTCTAGGCATCCCTCCCCAGCCTACACCTATGGTCAGCAGACCACTGCCAAATGGAGTGTATATTGCTCGCCATACTGGAAAGTTTGTCATTATCACATTCTCTGGTCTTCTTGCATTGTTAATGTCAAAATATTTTATACTTCCATCATGACTAGAAGTAACCAATTGGTATTCATGATGAGGGCTCCAGTCCACTCCATGGATTTTGCAAAGATGTGCAGAAATATAGTGAATAGGAGCAGAATGTTTGCGGTAATCCCATATTTTTATGTCACCATCGTGAGCAGTGGCCACTATATGTGTGGCTACTTTGTTCCATTGCACCTGCGAGGCACCAGCTAGAAATAATAATACCAAGTTAATATAAAATTGGAATTATTATAATTGCAGCATTAAGCAAACGGTTGCGATATGGCTGCCTAACTAAAATAAATCAAAAAAAAGTTATTTTATGTTTTTTACTTTAAAACTTACCAACTGCACACAATGATACTACAGGTTTCCTTGCATCTCTCAAATCCCATAAATGAGTGAATGTGTCAATAGAGCATGTTGCTATAAGGTTGTGATCCTGTCTGTGGAAGTGAGTGTCACTGACTACTCGAGTGTGTCCACGGAGAGAACAAATGCATGTCAAGTCATTGCCGTTACGCCACTCATATACATCTACTCTTTGGTTACTCTGCAATGATATACATCATAACAATTTAATTTAATGTTCCTACAAAAAAGAATTACCTACATAGCAGCCCTCTTTTTTGAAGTCGGTTAATTAACTCGTCAAGTACCGGTTTTATAGACACAATTAAAGAACAATAGGTTGCGGTCACCGGTGACCGCTTGGTGCTTGACAGATTAATTTACTAAAACTTTCTCTTAAATGTAACAGTTGTCTGAAAACCGCATCAAAATTGGTTCAGCCAATCGCGAAATTTTCGGGATCAAACATACGTACGGGTGAAACTGAGAACCTCTTCTCTTATGAAATTAGTTAATAAGTATTTTTTTATATTGTTCTATATTTTATAAATTATATAATTTATTTTATAAATTATACAAATATACCCACTTTCAATTTAATCTAATACCCACCGCGATTGCGCAGAGTTTCTGACCATGGTATGACTGACACCACTCAGCACCAGCCGCATCGTATTTGCTGTGACGAGGATATTTTTTGACTATATCTCCAGAATCCTCATCCTGAGTTATCTGTTTTATCGCGAGCCACCGTCGCCCCGCTAATAACACATTGTTGCCCGAATAATCCACGGTCATAGCCGTGGCTTGTAACTCGCGATACTCCCATTTCATCACTTCTGAACTCCAGTGAATAGACATTTTTAACAAACTTTAAAATTATGTGTCACTTAAAAACACAATAATAAAACCATGGTTTATTTAATTACGAGCTTTTGTTCGTATTTTCAATGTGGATCATTCATTTGATAAACAACAGTGACAATTATTTGACAGCGCAACCATCGGACAAAGTGACAATAAAAGTCATAACACAACACACCGTCTTTTCCGTTTACGCAGTTTTTATTTAATTACCAGACGTGCGATTAGGTCTATTTCCACACATACTCGCATTATGGCAAATATTTACTGATTTTAACTTAGAGTACTATCATCACTAATTGATAAACACTTTTTATTCATAACTGAAGATCATCTACATATGTATTTTATAGTAATACTGTGATACTTAATAGGTACGTAAAATGAAATGTGAAATGGGTGGCGTACTTTTTTTGGTTTTTTGGAAGCAAGGCGCATGCAAGATTCAAAATTCAAAAGCATGTTTCTGCAGCTTACTGAAGATTTTAATATTGAAGCATTTAATTGTAAGGCTAGTAAAAAGTACTTTTGCCTAGCTAAAAGTGGTAAACAAACTTCGACATATTGTCAAAATAATTTCACTGACTGACGCTGTCAATGTCACTGATGTTTTTGTGATAAAATCCGATAAACTTCGTTGTTAAGATAACAATTTTGCGTTAATGTTTTGAATTTGAATTTCTGGCTACTATATAGGTAACTGTAATTGTTACATTATAAATAAAATGGTGTATTCGTGAATGACTATTACTACTTATTAGCTTATAATAGAAATGATAGAAGGACTCATTTGTTATTGTTCATAGAAGTTTGTGGAATAATGGCATTCTTGGTGCGAAAATTGCGTCGAAGCTTTACTCATATAATTCCGCGTCTATTTATCGGTCTAGTTTTTATTTACGTTTATTGCGAATATTTAATTTATTATGTTACTCAAATTCAGGTAAGTTTCATTCATAGAATTAATGTTATGCTCGTAAAACATGAGAGTATATTAAATCTGCTCTGTAAATGTTTTCAGTGTGGCTGGATAATGTTAAGTAAGGAACCTAACGATGGTACTGAGCCAGTATATGCTATGGTTATAGCTGACACTCATCTCCTGGGTTCCCGGAACGGACACTGGTTTGACAAATGGAGGAGAGAATGGCAGATGCATCGAGCATTTCAGACAGCTATGACTCTCCATAGCCCAAATGTTGTATTTGTCTTAGGTATGTATACATGTGTATAATCAGTAACATATTGGTCTAAGTATGTCTATGTAAATGCTTGAGTCTTGAGTGCAATATGTCTCTACATTTCACTTGAGTGCATATACACTTCAACATATGAAACAATAGTCAGAGTCAGAAGTCTTTTTACTAGTCTTTATAATATTAACAATTTGAAAATTTAGTTTATTGAGTGATATATTTAATGATTATTATGATTTTTTTAGAATGATTTATTATGATTTGAATTCCAGGTGATCTGTTTGATGAGGGAAAATGGTGTCCAGAAAAGGAGTTCAATGACTATGTTGATAGATTTTATAAATTATTTAAAGTTCCTGATGGGACTGCAATGTATACAGTTGTTGGAAACCATGATATAGGATTCCACTACAGGTAGACCTCATTTCTGAAAAACAATTTTTTTATTTTATTTTATATACTGTGTCTTCTCTTATATGTGTGTGTGCATTAGATCTTATACACAATTTTGATCCCCCACATTAGTAAATAATTAAGAACAGGTAATGGATATTGATTAATTCATGTTTAAAGTAAGAAGCTTGCGAGAGAAGTCAGAATTGCTGGACCAATTAAAAGTGATGTTTTTCGTAGGTACTGTCATTTCTGTTAATACATACACCAAACTCCCATTTAAGCAATTAAGTACAATTTAAGAATTTAAATTAAATTTATTTTTACTATTTGCAACATCTGAAGTCTTACTCGAGAGTACGTAGGTATTACTTTTATAAAATAATGAATTCATGATTCAACACCACAATTTGTTGTTTCATACATGTTGCGTTTAGATAGTTTTGTACATTTCCAAAAAAAAAAAATGCATGGCTTTTTTATTTTATTTTATTTAAACTGTCAAACACCAAGCGGTCACCGGTGACCGCGACCTATTGTTCTTTAATTGTGTCTATAAAACCGGTACTCGACGAGTTAAGGAACTATTTTTATATCTATGAGAGTAGAGATTGAGGAAATCATACTTCTTAAATATACCTACAACTGTTTTACTAACTAGTACCAAGCCTGTTAGCCATTTTGTCTATTTATTAAATTAAGTTTAGTATGTTCAAAGGATAACGCCGCACCTCGCCAAAAGGTTCGAAAGTAAGCTAAAGTCACCTCCAGTACAATTAGTTAGCATCAGAGGGAATCACTTTGTCCTTATCAACTCAATGGCGATGGAAGGAGATGGATGTAGTCTGTGCGCGCGTACCGTTGCCGAAATAGCCAATATATCAAGTGAGTTTATTTCACGCAATGTTTCTAGAGAATTTCTACATTGTTATTTCTTATTATTATATTGCAAAAAGTATTAATATAAAATTTAAAAAGTTATGCCTCTTTCAACAGATATATTAAAATGCAGCAGTGGATCTAGTTTATGTAAGGGCAAAAAGCGATTAGAACGTTATAGCAGACCAATTATCATGCAGGTAAGCTTTTACAATTGAGCTTATAATGCTTCAAACATCTGTTTGTTACTGAAAGGTATTTTCGTCTGATATTCAACTTTATGATTTTGTAATATAGTCGAACATCGCTTGACTTAGGCTGAAAGCGAATGACTATTATTATTAGGTGCAATATCAAATATTTAAAAATAAATGTATCATTTTCAGCACTATCCTTTGTACAGAGAATCGGATAGTGTATGTACGGAGCCGGACGCGGCCCCATTGCCTGAAAGGAATGGTTTGTTCGAAGAGCGTTGGGACTGTCTCTCTAAAGAGTCCACAGAAAATCTAGTAGAGAGTCTCCATCCTCGAGCCGCCTTCGGAGCTCACACGCACCACAGTTGTGTCGTAAGACATAGCTTCGTGCCTACCTCTGATCACAAGATCGAATTTATTGAGTACACTGTACCGTCCTTTTCCTGGAGAAATAGATTGGACCCCAAGTATTATTTGGTAAGTGTGTTAAATTATTTATTTACTTTTTAAGGTGGTACTGATTGCGTAACTCGTAATAACGTACGTAAAATGTATAAACGGTTTGTTAATTGTAGAAATTAAGATCGCTTATCAAAGCTACTTTACATTCCTTTTTTACGTGACTCGATTCGGGAAATAAACCTCGGATCCCATGCTCGACAGTTACTAGATTAGCAGTGTAGTATATTCTTATTCATATTATTTTCAGTTGACGATATCACCAGAAGAGGTGAAGGTGTCTAAATGCGGAATGCCACGCGAGTGGACGTTGCAGATCACCGCTATACTGATGACGCTCGCACTCATAGTTTACCTGAGATATTACATAAGTGTGGACACACTAAGTTATAACTATAAACAATTGTAAGTATCTACCTACCTACTGTACTTTAAACCTAATGACGTTGACCGTTTTTGCGCTCAGTAGGTGGCGCTAGTGTTTTAGACAGTTTAACATTATCTAGTAGGCTATTAATCAAGAGGCTGCAGTTCCAATTTATTGCTCTGAGAGATGCTAATGATTCGTCATCATTAGGAATCACACTGGTACTTACATTTATTGCTCACTAGCGACCCGCCCCGGCTTCGCACGGGTGCAATATGCATTTATTATACATACAAACCTTCCTTAAGAATCACTCTATCTATTAAAAAAAACCACGTCAAAATCCGTTGCGTAGTTTTAAAGATCTAAGCATACATACGGACATACAGCGAAAGCGACTTTGTTTTATACTATGTATTGATAACTACTATAATATATATTTACCTACACAGTTCGCGCAACAACTACAGCAACCCAGTATAATACAATGTTGGGCGTTTTTAGAAGTTTGTACAATTTCACAGCTAAGTATGTATGTATAATGGCTGTTATCGTCTTCACAGCTTTTGCTTAATTAAAGCCTCGATTTCCACCATTAATATTTTTTCAATTTTTTCCTGTCATAAATTTATACAACGCAATCATGTTAATAAAATAATGATGCTATTACCACGCCCCTAGATATTCGAGATAAACAGCGATGTTTTCGCTCATGTTTTGATCGATAGGACTAGTTTAAACAGGAATATGTACTTAGACTTATATAAAACGTAGTGTTTACGGAGCAAGTATGATAAACTTGGCCTGACCAAGCAGTTCAATCCAAATACGATGTTGTTCTTCGCTTAAAGATAGAAAAGATTATTTACCACTTATCTGGGGATTTCTCATAGAAGAAAACTTACTATGAACCGGATTTGGTAGGGTAAACAAACGTAAATTGTGTAAATCACTACGTTCTATTGCGTTTCTGTTTAAGTTTATTCTTTGTACTATTTTCCTACATAGATATATTGATGAAAATGGTTGGTTAAATTAGGAAAAACGTTATATCCAAACTTAGCCATTGTCCAAAAAATCTGAGAAAAGAAATTGTTAAGGAAACAAAAATATATGACATAGGACAAACACCATCCCATAAATACCCACCGAACCATTTAAGTTTTAAAATTCTGGCGCCCTTGTGCTTGGTAACCTAAATTTTAGACTAAATAAGTACTAACTCATTTCAGATTTAGTAAACACGACCATAATATTATTCGACTCATTGCCCTCAGTTGCTGATAACAGTAATCCATTAAAATAGCATTTGTTAGCACGTTTAAAGCCTAGAATAGGAGAAAGCAAATCGTTGTTATGTAAACAATATTTTAAACTGACATTTCATCTATATTGGTACTTACACTATATAAAAACAAATAGCCAGACACGAGTAGAGTGGCGTAGTGACAAGTCTGTTTCTTGCCTTAATATTTATGTGATCACACATTTATACTCGTGACTCTAAGGGTCATGCAGATAACAGGTATTATTAGTCTGAGAGCATCGAGTCCATAGGGACGTTAGTAGGTATTCGATATTTTTTAACGGGTTGATTATACAAAAGATTTCATATCTGAATATGGATTTGTAGATTGATAACGATTCCATATTGAAGAACAGGTAGCCAGGTAGTGGAACATGTATGAACATCTCTACTATGATTTGAAGACTAAACTGTACACATTGCGCATAAGTACTTCAAATGATTTAGGAAAGGGTAAAATGACCAGTTAGTAGTGATTAGCATCTAGCGGCTCCTTGCAACCTTTATTAGGTTGTCTGTCCACCTTGCTTTTGTTCATACCTTACACGTGCGAAACAAAATAAAAGATGCGCTCGGTAATCCACCTCGGTAAACCTGGCGAGTACGGGCGCAGGTTAAGGATGATCAAAATAAAACAAAGTTTGACCTTCACTACATAGTATAATACAAAGTCGCTATCCACCGTCTGTCTGTCCCTATGTATGCTTAGATCTTTAAAACTACGCAACTGATTTTGATGCGGTTCTTTTTAATAGATAGAGTGATTCTTAAGGAACGTTTATATGTATGATCCATGCATATTGCACCCGTGCGAAGCCGGGGCGGGTCGCTAGTTTAATATAAGCACATACATAAATACCTCTTCTACAACTTCTACAAGACAGAGTTTGTCATTATTTTTATCGGTTGATTTGGAAATCGCAGTTTAAAAAAATCAAATAATATTAGAGAGCACTACCTAGAGAGGTCTGAAGGATGAACATACTTTAACATAATTTTTTCTTTGTTTCAGATCTGGAAAGAAAGTGTAAGACTGCTTGAAAGGTATTTGCCGAATGATATTATAGGTACTGATGTCATTGCTTATGATCTGATAATTATTATTATTTATTATTAAAGAAGTCTTTTATCTATAAGACAGTTTCAATTCAATATCCTCTTTAACTAATTGTCTGAAGCGAGGTCGAAAGTTCATATCACTTAATGGTCATAATCAGGGTTAAATACAATAAGTAGGTATGTACATTAATATAAATATGTGATCGTAAATAAACATACATAAACAACGTCACTTTTTTAAGGTCCGCCAAGGTTAGGAGAATGCGAAGGTGTATTCATCTATCATATCGAGGTGGCCCGGGGGTTTAAGACGCCTGCTTCTCATGAATGGGGGTGCCGGTTCGAAACCTACCAACGGCTAGTACCAATGTGACTTTTTCCGAGTTATATGTACTTTATAAGATTATACCTGGACTTATAATTCTAATTATAAGTTTGAAATCTCCAACCCGCATTGAGCAAGCAGTGTGATTAATGCTCAAACCTTCTCCGTGTGTGAAGAGGCTTCGCTAAGCAGTGGGCATTTATAAGCTGTTGATGATGATGATGATGAAGGTGCATTCATAACATAACATCACGCCTTTTTATCCCCGAAGGGGTAGGCAGAGGTGCACATTATACCACTGTACAATGTAACACCCACTTTTCACTATTTATGTTATGAGTCCCATGTAATAGGGGGTGAGCCTATTGCCATATACCGGGCACAATTCCAGACTCCGTGCTACTACTGAGAATATTTAAAAAACCCAGTAATACTTTGCCCGACCCGGGAATCGAACCCGAGACCCCTTGTCCGGCAGTCGCACTTACGACCACTCGGCCAACGAGGCAGTCGGTGCATTCATGAATGTATTAAAGGTCGATTGAGTCTATTGCTACACGTGTCACTACATGTTCACTTCTAGTCTCTGCGACTTCTAATATTGTCGAATAATGAAAAAGCTCAGGAGTTAAACCCAAGATGTCTTAGTCAATTGGTCCCGTGCCGCACTAACGACCACTCGACTAACGATGCAAATGCAACACGTCATAAATATTTATGATATGAACTACGTCTGTTACGCCTGAGCTTGTAAATATAAACAACATTTAGTAATAAAGCTTAAAGGTAGACACTAGACAGTAGGTCGATGCCTTTACAATTACTATAATCCAAGCGTTATCCTTCGACGTACGCAAGTGGGTAGGTCCTAATGTAATATTTATCAAAATGTGTTCGTTGTTTTTTGTCCCTGTTTAAGGTATTTTTCACTTTATTCACGTCAATTTTTCTCTAGTCTTACTTGTCTATATTCTCATTTCTATAGCACTAATTTTACTTTCTGTATCTATGATTCATTGCCGTAAATAAATCAGCGTTGGTGACAAAACACCCTTAATACAGCTTCCTGCTTTCATGTCCATAAAAAAATCCTTATTCGCTATGTGGTGATGACATACAAAGTCAAGTTCAACCTTAAGTCGATAGATGGCGCAACCGGCCTTACTTAAACTCCACCTTACATACTGTCACCTGTACCTACCGCCTCCTCTCTATAATTAACTTTTTTTAAATATTTTATAACAATTTTGTCTTTAGCAGTTTTCGAAACTCGTAGTTGGCGAAAAGTGAGTGTCAATTTCAATCTGTGCAATGGGGGCTAACGGTTTTTTGTTCGTAAATGTAAGAAAGAGTTTTTGTCCAATCACAGCAACTGTCAAATATTGAACATCCAATGGTGTGACACTAGCTAATTCCCTATTGGACGAAGATCGACAGGTTCACATTAGCGCGATCTGATGAGCAGAAATACCCAGTAGGCCCCATTGTGCACTTTATCTCTGACTATCCCTTTTAGGGAATAAAAGTCATGGTGATAGGTTTTGGTATATTAAATATGTAGGTTCAGTAGCAATCAGAATTCAATTGAAACCATTTACCCACTGAGGAGTTCTGTTAATAAAATTGTAACTCTACTTACTGATGCTTAAGTTTTCTTTTTGATGAAAAAGATTTACTGTATCAGTAGGGTTTAAAAATACTATGGTTTATTGATAGTACTTTTTTTGTCTTATTTGTTTGAGTTAGTTTACACATGGACTAGCTCATGTTGATGTACTCATACCTTGACTGCGCAATCATCATTTTAAAAACTCTTTTATTTATTGTGTTATATCGTCGTTAACGTTATCATCATAAGAGCTTTTCATGTACCTGTCTTATGGTAGTGTTATGTAGGTTTACATTGGATAGAAGGGCCGGATATTTAGAATAGGTAAATGAAAAGGTTAAATAATTTTTAAAGTAAAAATTATATTTTTCATCAAAATTATAAAGTAATAGGAACATAAAAAGGCACTTAATGCTTATCAAGATAACAGTTACAATACATTAAAAATGAATACTGAGTTATATCTAAAGTTAAAATACAATTAAAGGACGTACACTTAAATAAACATGTAGGCAATACAGTTATCTCAACTAAAGAACAAATTCGCCAAAATTTGGCCAAAAAGATAATGTTATCGTTGACCTGAAATAATGACGTACAACAACCGTTAACTAACTGCTGCCCTGTATTGTGACAACTTGGCAAGAATTTTTGAGATAATAATTATATAAATACAAATATCTTGAAATATTACATACATTCGCTTCTTGATGAACAGAGGAAAGTATAACTTGGTACCTATACGGCCATGTTCGTTTTCACGAGACGGCGCTTATCAAAGCTGACATCACTGACCGAGGTTAACAGTAACAATAATTATTATAAAGTACAAATTCTTGGATAAGCAAGTCATGGTTAGCGAAATAAATTATATCAACTTATCACACATGCACGTACCTACTCGGCTTGCCCTTACTATCTCGGTTTAAGAAACTTTGATGTGATAACAGGCTTCTAGCAAATCTAACTTATTCTAAAATAAAGCTGCGTTCATAAAACTTAACAAAAACTTATTAATTACAAAACACGTACACACTTTGCCTTGATAGCTAATAAATAGAAATTGGATAAGAAATTAGAACATTTTTACGTCTACGTATCTTTACCCGCTTTCCAATTCATCTCCAACATCAGAAACTGGACGATGAAAAAAGCTCCTTGGGCGAATTGCATTTAAATCTTAATTAATTTAGCCGCACACTTATCTAAAGTACTGGGCTGTTTCATTCTGGAATGTCACTGAGACGGATTCCGCCCGGTCGTCGGTACATGCGCTCCTGCATGGGCAGTTCTCCGACAAGGAACCGTTCTAAAGCTTTGATGGCCATGCGCGAGTGTCCCGAGCTACGGAAGGCAGTGCTTGCGTCGTGGCCCGCGTACTCAAACATGATGTCTGCTCCACCAGGGTGCTGTAACAATAGGAAATAACTTTTTAGCTACAAGGCTTTTAAGTAAAGATCAGATATAAAAAATAAAATAATAAGTTCTTTGATATTTGGATTTAGAAATATTTTAGTTTGTTTCATAAAATATTTAACTTACCTCATCAAAGAAGTTGGTGATGTCGTACACTCGATCGTAGATGACCACCCAGCAATCTTGCGGTGAGTCATGTAGCCTGACTTCTGCCAGGGTGATCGTGCGATCTTTAGCCTCTGGTGCTCCCGGGACTATCTGATCTTGCCATTTGCTTTGTTTGGTCTCCACCGACCAAGGGTTCACGAAGCGTAGAGCTGCCATCGTCAGCGCCATCAGATCAATTTCTGATTGCTCCTGCTGCACTGGTAGAGATGCTGAGAGGCTCATCTCAGTAGGGGTCTGTACTGCTGCCATTTTGATAGATTTCGAAATTTTTAACAAATTCTTCTTGACTCGTCTCGTCGATCAGACACGTTTGTCTCCTTAGGTGATCTAGACTCGATTGATTAATCGACCGCTTCTTACTCTGTAAAGGAATTACGAAACCTTATTAGTGTCTGCATTTCATTTACTTTTAGGGTTGTCAAATACGAATATTGTTTTCTAGATTAGTCTTCGTTGTTATTAAAAAATATTTGAGGTCGAAGAAGCTATGTGTGTTTGTAAACACGAATAAAATATTTATGAGAAAGATAGATTACTGTACATTAGATAAATCAAAATGATTATCCGATTCGTGTCAGCCCTGAGCGAAAGCATTAGAGCGTGAATAGTTTAAACACGATACCGTTAACTCATATCGGTTTACGTCTAGACTCCACAAACCACCGCCAAGGAGTTAGCAACATTTTCCTATATAAGGGAAACTAGAGGCAGTTCCATATCTTGTAGTCATTCAACAGTTGTATCGGACCACAATTTTGACGTGATACTAAGGTGACCCTTAATTATTAAAACACTAGATAAGAAGACGCTTATCAAAAAAGTTTTGGCAATAATGATTGTAAGTGGCAAGTTATCTCATTTATTTGACGCAAACCAAAAGTTCATTGATAATAAATGGACTCACGTTAACCTCTATACACATATTTATATTAACTATTTTATTATTCGAATTGATCACAGATTAATAAGTTTTGAAAAATATTTATTAATTAATTATTGATTTTGATAATTTATTGTTCCAGAATGTTTGCTGTCCTGAAATATTTTCATAATATTCCAGAAAATATTCCCGATAATTATATTTTTGCAGTATTTATTTACTGGATTGTAAACTTCCATGGAGTGTCAATGTCAACAAAATATTTTCAAAACAAATAATATTTACCTTTTAATCACTTCACTCGATCTGATGTACTCTGGGTTATCTCTGTTGATGCTCGAATCGCGGGGAATGACTGTCACACCAATTGTCACTATGCCACAGTTGTTCGTATTTCAGTTTATTATTCACGATCTTAGAATGATGCATGAGAGCGTAGAACATTGCCACAAACTAATATCGTCTTGTCATCTATAACTTGCTATTTGTGAATGAGTGCTGAGCGGCGGCACGGTGGCTTATATAGCGGGTGCGCACGCGCCGCCGCCGGCCGCGTCGTCTGATGTAAGTCGCCGCTATCTTGCGCGCGCGCCGGCACGGGCCACGGAGCCGCACGCCTCCAAACTTGTCGTGTGCTCACATTCTGACACCTTAGCACGACTTATCAGCATCATCACCAATATAGTGCCAGGATTGCTCACACGATATTTTGACCTTATTATTGTCATATAATTGTTTATTTACTCATAAATTAATCTTTGTATAAAGCAATAGGTTAGATTGTTTCGGGACTTCCTCACAATTAGCTATTGAGTATCGATAAATATAAAAGGTACTAATACTAATACTGTCTTATTAATATATGGGAGCATCGATACAGGTACCTACACAATTTACTGCTCTGTTCTTATTTCTAAAAGAAAGGGAAGAAAATGTGATATGAAAACGGTAATTTGCCCACACATGTCCTAACGTTGCTTATTTACCAAGGCCATTTTTACATAATGACCCAATACTTTAGCAATATATGTCAGCTAGATATTATTTGCTTACGTGTGACGTAGGGCGGTGAACGAACCTTCGTCACTCTCATCGTACGAGATCACAAACAACGAATTCACGTCATTATGTTATCATTAATAAGATTGCAGCGCACATTATCTTTGCCCAAACAAGTGTATGACCCAATTTCCGCATAATAATATTCTGTATCAGTTATATTCTGTTATGATGACGTTAGAGATCATTCCCGCCCTTTTTTTATAAGCTGCGGAAAAAAACATGCAGGACAAAGTTTTCCTGCCTCCTTTTGCAATATATTTTTAAACTTGTCTACTGACGTTTTTAAAAGCTGTTCTTAATTAAAGATTTATATTTTGAAGTATCGTATTCCATTGAGGTTTTACTCTTATTTCTTAGTAATCTTAATTTTACGTGGTAAATAAATGGAATCAAGAATGTTGAAAAACAAAACGGACACAGTCTCTTAAAACAACGATTGTGGCTCCTGGCTACTATAGAGTTAGACGCAGAACATGCACACATTGACACGAAGGACATCTGTCATTTTCTTAAAGCTGGTCACGTGGTAACCCATTACACACGCCCACAAAAAACCACTGACATTTTAGTGCTTCAATCATTTCTTAGTGACATTATGTCTGCCTTTTTTCAACATGTTGATTAGAGCAATATAATTAACATAACACATAGTAAAACTAGTACTTTTAATATATTTGAAGTGTCATCTTAAACCAAATTAAAAGCATCCTCAAACTGAAGAAATTGATTAGGGCACATGAAGCGAAAGAGGTGTGTATGAATTTATCCGAACGGTGAAAATGTTCAATAATATTTTTGCTTTATTGAATTGTACTTTGTACTCCAAAATAATACAATTTTATTAATATAAAAATGGCATGACACAAACATGGCTGTCCTTGAATAATAATTACGTATCAATCCGTTAAATAATAATACATAATATTATTATGCACATAATTATGTTATCAGTATCTGATGAAAATAGTTTTTGCGATTGCGTTTGACAACATAAAACATCTTCACCTTTTATAATTAAGTAAGAAGTGGTTCCCATACAAATATGACGCAATATTAGTAAGCAGTTGCTACGTTGTGCCCCTTCAGCGTTTAAATTGTAAGACTCAGGTAGATGGTGAAGGAACAATAGGTAGGTACTCAAGTAACATGGTTTACAGCTTAGTTGTAATTGTGTTACTACGTGTGCAAACATTTTAGGGGATTGAAAATAAGTACTATGCTTAGTGCCTAAATTAGTCACTTTAAATTACCTAAACTGCTTTCAATAGTTGTATGATTAGTTTGTTTAGATTTAACAATTAGTTATGTCAAAATTCTCCATTGAAGGAAAAATAAATAATGTTTTGGTCATTTACGCTGAAATACTCAAACGCCACTCAATTGTAAGTCACGCATAAGTTAGTTCTGTCACTACAAATTCTTTGTAAAATGACAGAGACGGCACGATATTTATGTATAACTTACAATTGAGTGGCGTTTGAGTATTCGCGCGTTACTTACGCACCCATTAGTATAAAGTAATATGTAGTCCCCAGTGGAAAATTAACAATCGCAAAAACTCCACTTTTGGAACTGTTAGGTAACAATGCATTTTCGGAGCCGCGGAGAACTTTACGGGTTACCGGGGCTGCGGTTCGAAGTGCAGGACTAGGAATAAGGTGGTTTTTAGTCAGTAAGAGTCGGACACTTCCTCCCGCCTCACCTAGGCGGGAGAAGACATTCGATGTTTTTCCCCCCTTAAAAAAAGGTTACATGCGAGTGGCGAATAATACCTTAATATATGATTTTTGTACTGCCAACAAAATTGCTTACGTGACACGATATGGATTGCTATAGAAAAGTTTATTCATTTCAAAAACGGTATCTCTGTTCTGTTGTTTATGGATATGGTGTAATGTCTATACTGTTTTCGTTGAACATTAACACAAACTACAGCTATCATTTTGTTTTGAATAGAATATCTGCTATACGTAAGTAGTTTAATAAATATCATGACTAGCAGTAAATAAGAAGAAAAACATATAGGACTTTTTAAGAAAATGTCGTAAAAGGACTCGTTTTAGGAACTCTATAGGATATAGTCTCTATAAGGACTATTTAGATAACAGAAATACATTGCAGTTGCCTATTTAATCTTGGTATGCCATGCTACACGTTGACCTTTTAAATATAGGTACTTTTATGGCTGAACAAAAAACGCATCTGCTAATTTCTTGGATATTCCTTGGATATTATTGAGTATTCAAGACTGTGTATCTTCTAGTTAAAGTGATTTCAATATTTGAAGTCCAAGTAAATATGTTTTTTCTCGAAACTGCGTGAACTTTTAAAGAAACATGATGTTATTAGAGTACAATCACACGGGACTATTTTATTTACCTACTAGATAATATAATAGTATGGATATGGATGTGATAGAGAGGCCAATGCTCGATAGTGGATATACCTACTAGTTCAGTAGCTGTGACGACACCAAAGCGGGAATACGAAGCTCAAATCGGTATCAATAGATTTCTGTGTGACGTACCCATTTCATTGTAATTACACCAATAGATAAAATGTTATGGCAGATCGAAAATAAATGGTATTCCTACGTACGCAAAACATCATTCATTCAATCATCAAATCATATTTTCTACTAATTAATATGTGACGTATTCAAGTCCAAATAATCAATACGCGGAATTGACGTCACAAATGTTTTCAAGTTAAGTAATAACATGAGATGTTGTGATACCATGCGCAAACGTGCGGATCGAGCTGTTTTTCTAGAATTCTTAAGCGATAAGATTTCTTTACACATTTGATGTGTAATCATAATCATATTATACTCCTATCATCCTATAGGATCAATTGCTATAGGAGCCTTAATAAGAATATGTATGAATGGTATGATTCTAATGATAAGGTCACCTAAAAACTGTGAATATTCATTTACTCTGGTTTAATTTGTTAGATTTTTTATATACCTTTAGTAACAGCTAAAGCAGCAGGAAAATTCTAAACTATTTTTTATTTTGGGTAAGTAATTTAAAACCTATAATTTGTTCTATCCTCAAAGTTCACCTACATTTTGAAACACGTTATCAGATATCGTACGCTTCAGCTTTCATTTTAGACATTTTAGAAACATTAGGTTACCCATCCACAGACCGGATTCAGCAAGTCAAGCCGGTAAGAGCAGTTAGTTTGATCGACTTCAACTTTACTACGAGTTTTCTGGGTAACAGTTTTTTAATGTGAAATATTTAACTAATAAACTGTACCTATGATCAAGGTTAAGGTAGGTTGTTACTATATGGGATTAGCATTCGCCCGCTGCTTCGCCTGCGTTCCTGTGGAATAAAAAGTACCCTATGTGTTATTCCAGACCGTAATGTATCCCTGGCGTGCTGCGCGTTGGGCTCGCTGCCATTGCAGCGGTAAGTCCCCTCTTTGAGGAGTGGCTTGAGAGACGCTACGGCGTCCTCACCTACCGCCTGACGCAGGTCCTCACCGGACATGGAAGTTTCGGGAGGTACCTGTGTCTGATGGGGCGGGAGGAAACGCCCGGGTGGCTCCTTTTGCGAAGCAGTCATGCTAGTTAAGGAGGAGGCGGGACGTGTGAGGCAGCGAAGCGCTGCCTCCTCGCAACCCAGCCATCGCGAAGGAAACACCGGGCGTCGGGGATCGCGGGACGATCTCCGGCTACCGCAAGCGCGGGCCTGCGGACGGCGAGCATGGGTGGCTCCCCGTCCGACCAGAAACAGACCCGAGCGTAGGGCGTGTCGCGTTCCGCGCGCGCCTTAAAGAGCCATCAGACCACCACAGATGGGGCCCAACAGGGCCGATGCCGATTCGGAGTCGCGGAGAACCTAACGGGTAACCGGGGCTCCGGCTCGACGTGCAGGAGAAGGAACGGGGTGGTTTTTAGTCAGTAAGAGTCTGACACTCCCTCCCGTTTTACCCAGGCGGGAAAAGTCATTCGATGATTCTCCCCCCTGAAAAAAAGACGTAATCTATCCTTTTTCTAACATTCTGATGCCTTCTGCCATTTTGACGTGATTGAGTAACAAACATACACACAAACTGATGAACAGAGATAGTTTGAGAGATTGACACTAAGATTAACCAGATTATGACAAAGTTTATATCAAGGGTATACATTGGCTTTTTGAATCGACTAGCCAAACATGTCTTTATAGGCTATTTTCTCAATCCATTCAACTTATTTTTTGCTTTATTCACTTCTATCTATCAACAATAAAATTCGGTTAGTAACAGTAGGTATGTTTATGAAACTTACCGTAGCCAATCACAAAATGTCGCCTTCTATAAGACGTTGAACTGTGGGGTTTATTTCTTGACATTCAGTCAAGATCAAGGCTCAGATTGTTTATATTTTTGAGTCAGTTCATAACATTCCTTTGCGTGTGTTATCTCTAATTATGACGGAGGAGAAAATATTATTTAAGTAAGTCAATACAATCTGGATTATCAGCTAGGTTGTGAACCTAGA